GAGAGAGAGAGAGAGAGAGAGAGAGAGAGAGAGAGAGAGCAACCGACCAAGGGATAGGTAGATAGATCACAACTATGCGAGCAGGTTGTTCTCTCTCTCACAACTATGACAGAGAGACGGTTTCTCTCTCTCTCTCTCTTTCTCTCTCTTCCTCCTGTCGCATAGAAGTGAGGGAGAAGGGAGGGAGGAGAATGCACCCTCATGATTTATTGTATTGGAGCAGGAATGTATACATGCATGGTCAGGGGGTGTTCTCTTTGGGTCAGATGGATGCTTGGGTTTATCCTGTACTGCATTGTGAGTGTATTAGACTCAAAAGATAGCTTGTATACACCCATTAGCAGCTTGTATACACCAATGCTAGCCAAGTTATTTACGTTATCTGAAAATGGTATATTCTCTCGCAGTTCAAACAAAAACTCGAGCACACGTTTTGAAATTGGGACTGGGTTTTGTGTGTATGTGGACTTGTTTTCATGTCGATGTACAGATCCGTTCGCAAGATATTTGCGTGGGAGATATCATTTGGCTGCGAGAAAACGACGAAGTCCCTTGTGATCTTGTCTTGCTTGGCGCTTCAGAGACTCAGGGATTCTGCTACGTAGAGGTGACAGCTTCTGCTTTGTCGTAGTTGTCATCAATTTTGTTGTCTTCTTCTTTCTTCTTTCTTCTTTCTTCTTCTTCTTCTTCTTCTTCTTCTTCTTCTTCTTTGTATTCGTAGTTGTCGTCATCGTTGTTGTCATCGTCGTTGTCATTGTCATTTTGTCTTCTTCTTCATGGTCGTCATCGTCCTCTCTGGTCGTCATCGTCCTCTCTGTCATCTTCATCGTCCTCGTCATCATTGTGGTCATCCTCATGATGGAGCTCATCCTCATCATTGTGATTGTCGTTATCTTCTTCTTCTTCTTCTTCTTCTTCTTCTTCTTCTTCTTCTTCTTCTTCTTCGTTGTTGTCATCATCGTCGTTGTCATTGTCGTTTTCTTCTTCTTCTTCATGGTCGTCATCGTCCTCTCCGTCGTCTTCATCGTCCTCATCATCATTGTGGTCATCCTCATGATGGAGCTCATCCTCATCATTGGGATTGTTGTCGTCTTCTTCTTGCCTTCTTGTCTTCTTCTTGATTGGTTTATCTGTAGTTACACGTGTGGAGTAGTACTGTGGACCTTTCAGCCACCCTGCAGGTAGAGCCATCAGCTGTTTATTTTGTGTTTTTATTTTTTCCCTGTTCTATCATCTAAATTCTTCTAATGCTTGTTACTAATTATTAACATATTACTCATCTGCTATGCGTTACCTTGTGCTGACACACAGACAGCTGCTCTAGATGGAGAGACAGATCTGAAAACTCGAATGGTGGCTGGCCCTTGCATTGGGATCTCGGGGGAGCTGCTTCACAAAATCAAAGTGCGTCCACCTATTTCTGTCCAAGACTGGGACCGTTCCTCCTCTCCTTCTCCCTCCCAGTTCTCGTCATAGCCACACTCTCTTCACCCCTTCTTTTTCCATCCCTTTCTCTCCCCCCGTTCTGCCCTTCATATCTTCTGTCTCTATCTCCTCCTCCTCCGGTCTTTCTCCTTCTCCCTCCCTGTTGCTATCCTCCTCTTCTCTCCTCCCTCTTTTCTTCTCCATTCTCCCTCCGTGCTCTCATCTCTCACCTCCGTGCTTCTCCTTCTTCTCTTCCCCCCTCTGCTCTCCTCCCTCTTGTCTTATCCAGTCCCTGTCCTTCCTCTTCTCTCTCTCTCTCTCTCTCTCTCTCTCTCTCTCTCTCTCTCTCTCTCTCTC